TTTTTATTTATTAATTATTCATCTAATTAAATTTATTTACTTAATATCAATATTAAAATTAATTTCAACTTATATATATATATATATCCTTATAACAAGCTTTTAATGATTAACCTTTTTTTCCTTCTAACAATTAGCAATTGGAATTCGACGTCATATATAACCGCCCGCTGTGAGCAAACCGGAAAACTTCAACGGGGAGATCTGTCGTTATAGTTCTCTGCCACGAAGAACACAATCTTTTCGTCTACTCTTCACTGAGCATAAGCCCTAAAATCCCCCTTCTTCCAATCCACCATCATCCCCTTAAACCCTTGCTTGAACGCTTCTTTCTCCACAATTCCTCAACTATTTTTTGCAAATATTATTTATTGATTGATTGAATTCTAGTATTCACTTCCTGTTTGTGCTGTGTGAGATCATTATTCACCATGGATATCAAGCAAAAACAAGCAGAGCTAATCGATCACTTCGCTCAAGCGAGCCTCCGCCGGTAAAGGTTCAGCCCTAGGGTCCGTCATCGCCGTAGCCACATCGCATCCTTCTCTCTTTGCTTTCTCCGAGATTCCTGCCGTCTCAACCGTCGCTGAGGTTAGAATTGATTATATTCCCCCAGTTTTCATTCGTTGATTTCACTGTTCTTTTGTTCCTTTAATGCTCCTGTGGGGGTGTATTGTTGAGTGTGTGCGCTTGCGCTTTCTTTGGTGCTTTTAAAATCTAGAGAAAGGTTATGTAAGATTCTGGTTTATGTGTTCATGACAATTTGCAAATTCATGTTGGTTTATTGTAGTTTTCTAGTTTGTTTCACGCCAGTGCATCACTGTTTGGGGATTATTATATTTATTGTGGATCAGTGATGTATGGTTCACCATACCCGATAGAATAGATAAAAGGGAAAAAATGGGAAATTTTGAATATCATGTTGGGATATGTTGAATTGAATGATTACTTCTATAAATTATGACAAATAGTGAATAGGGCTTATTTGGGTAAAGATTTTTGTTTTTCTGAGAGGCTGATGGATTAGTAATGGAAATATGAAACTTGCAAAATTAGTTGACATTCTTTGAGTTCCCTTTTATTTTCTCTTATTGTCCTCATGTTTTTCATATTTTTAGTTAAGTTTGTTGATAAGAATAATTACCTGAGGATTTTTATGAAACCAATGGAATTTTGCAGCTTCCAGGAACGGAACATTCTGTTTATGTGGACATGCTTCGTTTGTTTGCACATGGCACGTGGAGCGATTACAAGAGTAAGTAGGAAAACCGTTTTCTGTTTTTCAGTTATAAGTTCATATTGTCTTGAAATTTGTGAGATGCTTATTTCCTTCTAGTCATAGACTAGTACTATCAGTTTGCCATATGGGTTTATTAAGTTTAAATAGACGTGGAAATACTTTGAAGCGCTCCTTTTTTAATTATTGGTCAATTGGTCTGAATTTAAATGTAAAAACTTGATATCCTGGCCTGTATCATGGATTGTGAAATACCATTTACAATAACATCTCGTAATAATGCTATTGTACTTGTCTGCATGGTTTTAAATTAACTGAATTTTGGCTGCTGAATTCATTAGATAATGCTGGACGTCTTCTTCAACTAGCTCCAGATCAAGTCCTCAAGTTAAAGCAACTTACTGTACTTACACTTGCTGAGACAAACAAGGTGTGCTACCCTGATTTTATTCCTTTTTTACAATCATTTGCATTTCCATTTGGAATTCTATCGTCCTTTTTAGTTGCTTCAGAAGCCATCAAGAGCTTTATGAATATTGTCCATGTGATATCTGTTAAGAAACTGTGGAGCTCAAGATTAAAAAGCGAACTGAAACTGTATCAAAGGAGCTTGAGAAGAAGGCTTCAGCCCTTCAGACCATGGAAAGGAAATTCTACCACTCATACTCTATGGTAGGTATCAGTGTTCCTGATACTGCACCTGATAATGGACAGGTTTTAGAGCCCAAGAACCTCTTGCAGATAAGAAATCAGAGCTTGCAGCCTGCCAAAGGTGGGTGGAAGACAAAATGCTGAAGCGTTCCAAGGCATTTGAGGTAATGGGAGCAATGACACTGAATAATCTCCAAACAGGCTTGCCAGGGGTTTTCTGAGCATTAACCAGTTTCTCTGTCTTATTTACTGAGGCACTTGACACAATTTGCACCCGTTCCTATGCTATAAAATAGATGGATAATTCTTTATTCTGGTTTTATTTTTGAGGCACGTCAAAGATTCATCAGAGCTGGGATTTTTTTGACTGTGAGCTCTTATAGGTACTGTTATTATTTGTCTGGGTTTTTTTTTTTTTTTTTTTTTTTTGGGCATGTAAATACATGGGGAGCTCTTTTTGTGGTTCTGTCATCCTTTTTTTTTGTCAAAAGTGAGGAAATGTCTGTACGGGAAAAAAATTGCTTGGATTATTGTATCAAAAGGTTGCAATTTCAGCAGATAAATAAATACACAATTGTTCCAAGCACATATTTTCCTTGTTTCTCAAGAATTTATAGACAGGATGTGTTGTGGGTCCAGGTGCTGGATTATTGATCTGAGAGCTAGGCTGTCTATGCTGAAGTATATGAGACAAACTGCTAATGTGTTTAATTTAGGTGAGATGCCTCCTTCATGTGAATAATGAAAATGATGATTCAGGAACAGCAGCTAACTTTGGTGCACTTTCAGCTCCTATTTTGCTCCACCAAAATCGTGTCTGTTCATCTGACTGCTTCTCTTTTGTTTCGAGTTCTTGTTGGAAAATTCATTTCCATGCCCTCTCTCCATAGAATCAATCTTCATTTATTTTGAGTAGAATCTTTTCGAAGCAAAAAATTAAACCAAATGGAGAAAAAAAAAGATAGCATTTGATGTTATATAAGAAACTGAACCTTGGATAGTTATAAGTCAATTGAGTAAATAATAAAATAACAGTTAACTGTCTTAAAAGATGAAAGGTGAATTTTTTGATGTGAACATTTTAGTGATTTCATGGGGGACCAGATGCTCGAGAAAAAAAACAAAAAGGAAAAGGAAAGTTCTTGCTTTCACACTGTTAGGTTTATGACTCCAAAAGTGCAACCATAATAAAGGAAAAACTGGTTGGGTC